TTTATAAAATACAAACATTGACATATATTTTTCCTTGCAGCAGTTTGACAGTGACTCTTTCAGTAAAGACCCTGGTATAGAGCTCCTGCTACTGTTTTCCATTTCTAACATCTGACTGAAACCTAGTTAAACTACAGTTCATATTCACAGTCAGTGATGTATCTAGAACTTCTAGAAGGCCTGGGTTGATGTTTTTTTCTCACTAAGTGGTCCCGCTCATTAAAAATCTGAACATGATTTGGTTGCTTCCACCGTCAGTTCTTATTATATTAGGCTTTCAATTCAGCTCCTGGGTGTATCTACCTAAAAACCACAGTGGAAAAATAATCTAATTGGACAATGTTCCATTGGGCAGTTCAAGAATGTATCCCTTTCTGACTACATAAGAGTATTACTACAATACTCAAAATACTTTCAATGTAACAAGCGTGATGATTGTATAAAAATGAAACAAAAATCTTATGCTAAAACTGTGGCTAATAATAATAATAATAATATGTTTATAGTTTGGATTATTGTTTATAATCTAGATTAATAGCACTTCATTTCACTTAAATAGTGTTATGATTTAAAAGAATAACATATTTTAAAACAAAAGTATTTTTTTCTTTTTGCATGTTGGTGGGTAGTCCTGGGCAAAATTGCCAAAAAAAAGTGATAAAATCACAATATTTTCTTAACCCCAGGCTTATTTCATGCTAAGGCTTATTATTCAGCAACTACAGAGACTTTGGTGCAAACTAGCTGAGGTATTCTTAGGTTACAGAGGTTAATATATCACAAGATCATAGTATCAGATGATATTTAAGTTTGCATTAACCCCTTAAACCTGCATTATCCCCTCAAAGCATCCATATATGGGCTCACAGCTCAATTCTTTACTCTCATAAGTACATAACTTACACATTAGTGTCATAGTGGCTACTGAAGAATCTGTAATTAAGTCTTAAGATTATTTGCTGAATAATAAGTCTGCAGTTTAAGGGCTTAATGCAGAGAAGGTCCAAGTGTTGGCATAGTAGAAGAATGTACAGTTTAAATGTGTGTGACAGGTCAGCAAAGTCACATGGACTTTTCATAATTCCATTCCCTTTGTTAGTGATGGATTGGTGAAACCAATCAGCGGGGTCGATGAATATCAGTCTGTCAGCTATGTAACACAAATACCTTAAGATATTCACATTTTTCTAGCGGTGTAGATTTAGCTGCTGAACATTACGTTCTTTGGAACATGTCAAAACAACATATCTTAAAGGAAGCCTTAGAGCCAGTGGTGAAGTGGAACATTTCGACATGGCAGAGTTGTTAATGTGTGAACTGGTATCTCAGTCTGAAACATACAGTTACCAGGTTTATAAAGCAATATCACAGTTTTGCTGCTGTCTCATCTACATGCTGTAAACATTAAGTGGTCTGTTTCACAAAATCATACCAGTGGCTAGTTTTTAGATAATGTTTAAATAATCATAAAAACCACAGCAAAACTAATGCTAGCCAACTAATGTTAAAAAACTACGCTGCATTTATTAGCTATAATAATTTAAAGAAAAATCAATATGAAGTGTCTTAGTAAGGTGTTGGGTCATCACCTTAATGCACCTTCACACAGATTCTAGTCTCTGGAACTGTACTGGAGGGATGGAACAAGGTTCTTCCAAAAGATATTCCCCACCATATTCCTTGGTGTTTTGATGATGGAGGTAGACAGCACTGTCTAACACTTTTAGCCCTCTTCCATGAGTTCAACTGGGTTGAAATTTGGTGACTGTGGAGATCACAGCAGATTATTTACATCATTTCCATACTCATCAAACCATTCATTGACCCCTCGTGCCCTGTGGATGGAGACATTGTCGTCTTTGAAAAGACCACATCGATCGCCAACATCACATAAAAACCTCACATCTCCTACTTTGACACTTTACTTTTTGCATAACTTGAAAATTCCAGTTATCCCTTACTTTTTATCAAAATTTCACAATGAATGGACCAATAGAAATGGTCTAAAATTATTTGAAAAAAGTGGTAGAACAATTTTTCCTTCTCCTGTAAAGTTACCATTTTGGAGACAGTTTTGTTCCAACAGCGACAAAATGTTTGATCAGAGCATAAAGCTGATGAGTCAGAACAACTTTGCATTGATTTGCAGTGACCCCTCCCACTAAGAGGACTAGTGCACCAAACCATTCCAGCAAGGACCACTGGACCCCCTTCACTCTAGGAGTCAAGCATTCAGGCCTGTACTGTTCTCTTGGTGTACTCCACACTTGTCCTCACCCACTTGCGGAGAATATGGTGAAGGTTGACTTATCTGACCATATCAATTGTTTCTACATCTCTATAGACCAGTGCCTATGGCAAGGGAGTCCGATCCGCAAAAGGCCAGTGTGGCTGCAGGTTTTCATTCCAAACAATGTGGGCGCACACTTGATCAGCTGTTTAAAGACTGAAACTAACTGATTTACTAAGCAGAATCAGCTGTGCTCCAGTTTGTTTGGCGTGAAAACCAGCAGCCACCCTGGTCCTTTCAGGACGAAATTCGACACCCGTGAACTGTGGATTTTGCACCACTGTGCATTTGTCTTTGTAATGAGGGTTTATGCACTGGAGCCCTACTGCAATATCCCTCTTTATGTAGTTGTGAACGGACTGTTCTTGCTAAGTGTGATCACATCCATTGACATTCTCACTCACCTGAGGAACACTTGCTCTTCTGTTTTTCCTTCTAATGTATGAGCACGACGGTAGCATGATGAACTCCTTTGACCACCTTATGTAACGTCTTTCCCATAGACCTAAATGCAGAGGTCAATTTAGTCTCTGTTTCTGTTGCAGCATTAGCCAGTTGAGCAGTCTTTGTGACTCAATATCTCGAGATCAGGTAATTAATTACATAGAAACATCACATTTTATTACATTTTCTTTTACTATCAAAAGTCAGAGTGCAGTGCTCAGTTGCTCAGGCACCTGTAGATTGGCACATGGTTAAATAAATAAGTGAATGAGTACAGTTTATACACTTCACAGACCAACAAAAGACATTTAATGCCATCACTTTGTTATGTAACAGTTGATCAATAGGGATGGGGGTTAAAGAGACCATTATACGCAGACAATAGGGCTTCTATATGTGAAAATACCTTCTGGTCATCATGCTTGAGACTGTTGTATAGCTATAAGCACAGAAGATCACCTCTGATTAGAGAGGTGGCACTAATTAATGGTTTATAATAATAATAATAATAATAATAATAATAATAATAATTATTATTATTATTATTATTATTATTATTATTGTTATTGTTATTATTATTGTTGTTATTATTCTTAATATTATTATTAAGTCAGCACCATGTCTCTGAAGTAGCTTATGCTACAGCCTCATAAAATTATTCTGAACAGACAGCTGATTTCTGTTGCACTTAGGGTCAGTCATAATGAGCAGAAGGTCATTTCACACATAGGCTATAGAGAAGGTTAGTGTCTCCTCAGTTATGGTCTCTGTTTTATCACCTCATCTTATTTGTCAATGGTTACATAACAAACTAATAGTGTTAAACACTTATGTTGCTCTGCATTAAATGAACTGCATTTGGCTTGTTTAGTTTTGTGCACGGTCTGTTCATGTGCCTTGGGATGGAGATAAAGTAAACATGCTGATGTGGTCAAGCCGTGGTGAGCCGTGGTATTTAGACGTGAGCTTGTAGAATTCTTGAAGGTCTTTTCACGCATAGCCTCTAAGGATGCATCGGTGCTTCTACATTTCAGTTCCTCACTTGCATAACTCACTTTAAGTAAAGGCAGTGGTTGTACACAGAACAGTGGCAACTCAAAGACCCATTTGAATGCATAAATGCTTCCTCTCTATGGTGGAAAATAAACCTCTTCAAAAATGATTCTACTGAGCATCAAAAGGGGTTCTGTTCTTCGAACTACCAAACATGCTTTACATTGGCCATCCAGGATGGGAGTTGTGCACCCCTCACTCAGAGTGTACATAACTTAAATCTTAGTTTCATAGCAGTTACTGAATAATAATTCTTAAAATCAATCAATAAAAATCAGGTCACTGCAAAAAAAAAGTAAAAGTAAAAGCATTTGGTCATTTTGCTTGTTTTACAAAATAATATTGGAAATAAGAAAATAAAATCTGACAGTGTAGTAAGATGGTTTTACTTGACAAAAACACTTTATATAAGCAAACATGTCTAGAACCAAGTCTTATAGCATTAAATTTACAGCTAATTTTACATCCTTCTTGCATTATTTATTTTTACAACTATATATTATATACAACTATATATTATATAATATAATATATCTTTTACAGAGAACACACAAACCCACATTATATATGTATATATATATATATATATATATATATATATATATATATATATATATATATACATATATAATGTGGGTTTGTGTATATATATATATATATATATATATATATATGTATATATATATAGCAGCACAAGGTTTAGGCTCAGGCAAAGTGTTATGTTTTGGGGTAGGTTTAGGTTTTGGGTTGAATTTAAAGTTAAAGTAAGGTTCAGGTTAAAGGTTAGATTTATTTATTTAAGATTTATTTTTAGATTTAAGGGTTAGATAGAATCTATCACATTAAACTGAGGGTCCAGGTGCATTTAATGGATAATTAGTTGGATTCAATATATTGGCAACACTTAAGATGCTGCAATTTGCCATGTTATGAAAATGTTTTTGTTTTACTTTTTTTTAATATTATTTTTCTGCAGTGTGGAGTTGCTGTTAATGATTGTTACTCGTAATCACTGCAGTATTTTTGGGGTTTTTAACAGGATTGTGTTTGATGGGCTCTGTGTTATCACGCGGATGGTCAGCATGTGATGCCGGTGTGTTTCACAGGAGTGGCACAAATCGCTACTGAGAGAACACACACTCACACACACACACGCACATGCAACTCCTTCCCTCTCTCCACACACACACACACACACTGAGCCAAAGCCATTCTCAGAGCCACACGCCTTCTTACCCAAAATACCGCACAGCAGAACACCAGCACTATAAAGAGGTTTTAGCACATGAACAGCACTCTCTCTCTCTCTGTGTGTCTCTCTTTTCTCTCTCTCTCTCTCTTTATCACCTTACAGTCAGTGGAGTGTTTACTTATGCTTTCCTAAATGGCGGAGGAAATTTTAAAAGAGCCTGATGGAAAAATTAGAGGGGTGAGTAAAGAAAGCCATTCTTTCATAACTGCTGAATAGCGGAGTAACTGAATAACTGTTGTGTGTCCTTTTCATGTGAAATGAATTTATCTTTTAAAAGCAGCTGCTGTTGCAAATAGAACATTGTAGCCTACTCTAATCTGTTTAAAAAAACTGTTGGTTCCTGATGGTTATGTAATGTGTTTTAGCTGCTTAATGGGTTAACATCACAATGTAAAAGATGCTAATGGCTTAACAGGTGACCAGCGGCTGATTCTAAATGCATTTTAAGGTTTCCTAATTGAATCCAAAGGTGTTCTATAGGAAATAAGTGATCTATTGGAAACCAATTAAGTCAATTCCCATTTTAAAGCAAAACCATTAGGTTTTGATCTTCATGGTTTCTAATGGTCCTTTTTCAGCAGGGAAGCTGAAAATGAATTTCTTCAAGAATATCTGACCCAAACAGGCATGAGATTGTTCCCCAAAGGCGACAGCATTAAAATAAATGACTAAATAAATGAATATCATGGGCAGTTCCTGATACGAATATTTGAGTAAGTGTGCTTAGACATGTCTTTTATGACTTCTCATTTCCATGTGGTAATGTATTTAGATGCTTTTGTAATCTACACATGCATTAGAGCTTTATATATGGCTTTTTGTTTACATCTGATTTATAGTAGATTTCCAATTCTTGGATTCTTTTGCCTACTTTAGATACCTACTTTAATATGAAGGTTTGTGCATTCAGAGCTACACTCTTTAAAAAAGAAGGGGGTTCTTTAAGGCTTTATTAATAAAGGCAAAGCAATGACAACTGACAGAACCCTTCGAATGTTTGAATGGTACTTCGCTTAGTTAAATGTTCTTCAGATTGATGGAGAAGGTGTTATATATGATTCTATACAGCACCTTACATAGAGCCATTTTCAGAAAGGTTCTGTATAGAATCATATACAACACCTTCTCCATCAATCTGAAGAATGATTTCACCATGCAAAGAACCCTTTAAGCATGCAAATGTTTTTTTCGGGGTGTTCATGGTTCTATATAGAACCATTGGCACATATTCATCAAACATAGAGTAAGACTTGCTGATCTGGGATCATTTTATGCATTTTACACAGCACCAAATGGGACTATATGAGCAGAGGAGGCCTGATCTTAGATCAGTGTGCTTACTCTGAGATGCTTGATAAATTTGGGCCATTGTCTTTACTTAGAACCCTTGAAGAACCATTTCTTTTTTTTATTGTAGATATTTCTTCTTAAGGAACAATATCCAGACCCGGCTAATATACTGGAAATACTACATACAATACTTTACAGCTAATACTAGGCCATACATTCTCTGTATGGTAATATTCTAATTTGCATATTAGTGACCTCACAATGAAATGTTTCATTCCATTGTCTGAAAACAAAGCTGTAAGAATTACATGCTGTGGCTTGGATGTGATTTATGGGGGGAAAAAACTTAGTCTGGGGTCAGTATCATGCACACATTTTTTGTGTCCTATTGCATAATTTAAAGAAATACATGAAATATATCATAATATTCTACAATATCTCATTTATGTAAATACATTTTCAAAATAAAATGTATTTTAGGCATTTATGCACACAAATGTCTGAAAATGTCAGTTGGTGTGACCGTGCAACCGTATATGCTGATAAGCTAAACTATTGGGGAAAAAATGGTCATTTAGTTTAAAATTTTAAGCAATAATCATAAAACATGCTTTGAATTATGGCAGCATTATACTAATATATAATAATATTTCTTTAAAAGTTCAAGGAAAACAGTGCACACAGGTTTATATTGTTTATATTATCAGGTTATTGAATAGATTTTTGCAGACACAAAAATTAATATTATCCTTTTTATAAGTTTTTTAATTATCATTTTGAAAGCCTTATTTGGAACCTTTACATCATATAGTGGTGCTGTACACTTTACAAAGGTTCTTCACACATCTCTTAATCAAATAATGGTTCTTTATAGAACCATCAATTCAAAGATTTCTTCTTTAGGGAACCAAAAGTGGCAAAGCTCCAGGGAACCGGTTTTGGCACCTTTATTTTCAGTAGCGTATAATCTTCTGCTCCAAAAATTCACAACTGTGTCCACGTTTTTGCTCTGTTAAACTTCCTCGTGTACCTGAGACAGTTAATCAGGGCTGTAAAACAGAGCAGGCACGTTTGAAATTGGAGTAGAACAAAAACGTGGACTGCCCGGTGGTCCTTGTAGCGTGGACTACAAGAATCCACTAGATTGTCTTTGTATTACAGGGGCGACTTTGTTATGTATTTTAGGTGGAAGTTTGAATAAGCCTTTAATGCTTGATGGATTTGAATAAAACTATTCATTTTAGCTCTGTAACCACGTGCTTGTTCACGCGAAAATCTCCTTTGGCACTGGCCATACACCTGCCACCAATCTACTCACAGTCCATTTTTATATCCTTCACGATCAGATGGATTTCCTCTTGAAAATGTGAGTGAGCACTTCTGAAATTGGCAGGCTTTGAGTTTTTGGACTGAATTGAAGGATGATTTTGTTCCAACATGCTAACTATAAACTCTCATCAGACTCGGCCACGTTCCACTTTCCTCTGCAGTCATGTGCATGGCTAGATGGATTATAGCCCGAGTCTAATCCATCAGATTCAGTGTACAGTTTGGAAACCATGTTATACACACTGAACAGAGACTTTATTAGGTACTTTATTTCATAACTAAACCTAATAGACTGCCCTGCTATATAGCTGTAACTGAATAGACTGTAACTCACTACTGGCTGGTGTTCCTATGTGTGTTAATGGATTCTTCAAGGGTTCTTCAGTAAAGGCAGCGGTTATATACAGAACTATGACAATATGAATCATTTAATGTTTTGTCTGGCTGGTTCTTTACTAAGACAGAAAATCATTTATATGTGGTTATTTAAATAACCTTCAAAAATAGTTCTACATGGCACCCAAAATGATATTTCTTGTTAGATGTCAAAAAGTGTTTTTGGTACTATATAGAACCCATTTTTGCTAAGAGTGCTCACCCTTAAAAATGGGCTCTTCAAGGGTTCTTTAATAAAGACAATGGTTATATTTAGAACCATGACAACCTGACAAACCATGGTTTTTTGCATGGTTCTCTATGATGGAAAACCTCTTCAAGGAACCTTTTAAAATGGTTTTGTATAGCACTAAAAAGGATTCTATTATTGTTATTATATTATTTAACGTTATTATAATGTTATTATATAATGAATATAATATATATATCATTGTTGTCGGAAAAAAACCTTATATCCCCATTTTTCATTTTTTTCAGTTTTTGACATAATTTGAAAATAACTGTTGCCCTTTACATTGTATGTAAATTTCATGATGAATAGACTAAAATAATGACCCAAAATGACTTCCATTGACTTACATTAAAAGTAAAGAGGTACACAAGGTTTACAAGGTTTTCTTCCAACAACAGTGATATACTATATAATGTATATAACATCCATCCATCCATCATCTAAACCGCTTATCCCTCTGGGTCGCGGTGGGGTGCTGGAGCCCATCCCAGCTGCCATTGGGCAGAAGGCATGTATATAACATCATATAATATATTACATAATGCTATTATATTATTATTATGTTGTATATTCAATGGAATTGTATGAATGGTTCTTCTAACTATAAACAAGTCAGTCTAAGCTTTTTATTCCATTATTCCTTTAAACCCTTCTTTCAGTGCTTTTGCATTTTCAATGTTAAAGCTCTTTGTGCTGTTCTGAGTAACATTATTTAGCTAAAAGAACTGACTCACAGGTAAACTGCTTCACGGAGATTCATTATCAGGTTAGCTGTGTTAGAGAAAAATAGGAAATTAGCTCTGTCCTATGAAATTCATTTAGGGAGACTAGCCTATTTGTACTAGCTTAGAGAAGAAACCAGCTCATTTTGACAATTTCTGCATTATTAATCTTTTAAGATGTAAACAGTCATTCAGACTGGTGTGATGTGAAATGGTACATCATAGAGAAAACAGATTTCTTTACAGTGGTAGTGATGGGAACCAGAGTTTACAATGCCTGCAACACAAATATAGCCATTTTATTTACTACCCAAAACAGCCAGTGAACATCCACATGTCCTCTGAGTTTTTATGTTGTTGATGGTAAAATAGTGGTTAATAAGGAAAAATAAGTTTTTATTTTGGTACTGTTTTGCCTTACAATGCTCTGCATGTATCTTTCTGCCATTAAAGGCTTTTTAAAGTACAGGTATGTGATGGAGGCATAAAACTTTTCAGATGTCTTATTCAAGTTCCTCTAACTTAAAAATTTAATTAGGCAGGGAACTGAGATAAACCTGGTGGAGTTCCCCTTTAAGGATACCTCTTTCAAGTAGACAACGAAGTATATTTGGATAAGAGCATCTGCTAAACGCTGTAAGTGCAATATGTAAATACCCATTGCAGTCAACTGTAACGGGTAATCCACACATTTTTGCTCACAACAGTCAGTTGACTAGGGGTTGTGACCTGTCTTGAACTGAGTGACCTGTTCTGACAACAGGGCAGCAGCTGTCTGGATATATTTACAAGCTACCATAATGCTGTCATTTAGGGATAATAAAGGGAAACGTGCTGTTCAGGAAGCAACAGTCTTGCTTTCCAATGCAAGCTAGACACATTCTCCATAAAATGCTTATCCTCAAATGTATGGAGAGAGTATTATGGTATTTATGGTACTGCCAGTGTGGTGGTTGCCCAGCAGTCAGGGGACTTGGTAATGAGCCAAGAGATCATGGGTTAGATCTCAGCTGATAGAATACTACTACCACCATTGTGCCCTTAAGCCAGGCATTAATCCTTCAAGTTACTTAAGCGGGACTGTGCCTGCAGTTGGCATGCACAAATCAGTTTACACGAAAGCACACCCAAAATAACATAATAATGCTGATGTATTTACGAGGTGACTTGACCTCTAGCTGATAGTAATGACCTGCTATGCTCAAAAGCTGGCATGACTTCCTTTTCACAGTGGTCAGAAGTGTTGCATGCTTAAATGATTCTTTTCATGGTGAAATGGTTCTTGAGATGAAAAAAATAGTTGAAAATGGTTTTATATAGCGCAACCCTTTTTGGTGCTATATAGAACCATATACAACACCTTCTCCATCAATCTGAAGAACCATTTCATCATGCAATAAACCATTTAAGCATGCAAACATGTCTGAAATATTAATATTCTTAGATTATGCTCTCTTTTCCTCTTGCATGATTATACTGGCTTTTGCTTTGTTACTCGTTGAAGGTCTTGCAGATTTAGATGTGCAGAACACAAAACTTTAAATTTTATTTTTACACAGTTCAGTGTAACTGTTTATTATGTACAGCTCTTTGCACAAGTACTTTGCAATATTGCCAGTAGGTACAAGTTCTTCATTCTCAGGAGATATTTCTGAAGAGATATAAGGTAATACACTTGCACAAGGAAGTGTGCCACCAAAACTGTCCCCATCAGATAAACAGAACTTCATGTTTTCATCTTTGGGAGAGAGGAGAAAATCAAGCTCCACTTTTGCTTCAGATCTGAAAAATAGGCTGGACCCCCCAGAGTCCATACCTTAACATCATTGAAAGGATTTGAGTTTTATGTAGGTTGTGAGAAGCAGAAAGTGTAACCAACTTCTAAGTATGGAAAAATATCCTCATAGGTTTCTTTAAAACACTGAAAGCAAGTCTCCTGAAAACAATGGAAGCTGTAATAAAGTCAAATGGTTTACGCAATGAAAATCTATATCTTCTAACTTGGTGTTATAGTTGTATAGTTTTTGGTTTCACTTACATTGCAGGCTCTTTAAGATACTTGGTAGACAATACTTACTTTGATTCTGTGTTAAGGATGTAAGTTTTTTGTAAGTTCAGAATTTAGAATGTTAAGAATTATTCTGAAGATCACGAAAGCATTGCAATCTTCGTTGTTTGTGCAAGTTGAACCAGTGCCTTTCTAGGTGATTGTAGCACTAGATGCCATTAAAATATCAGGTCCTAACTCTCTGTTTCTTGTTTCCACAGCATTTAACCCTGTCCCTGCTGGCAGTAGCATTTCTCTCCTCCTTTGGCAGCTCTATGCTTTATGGCTATAACCTGGCTGTAGTCAATTCTCCTGCTCAGGTTGGTGAAAACAAATAACTCATGGAGAAGTAATGCCCACAGCACATGAATGACAAAATATTTCAATGTAATAGAAAATGACTGAGTATGACTTTCTGTCTTTGGAGGAATGTCATGGTTATGCTTAAAATAAAACTTACATAAAACATCCACTTATGACTTTGATGTAGTTTGATGAACCAAAAACATAGTTAATTTCTACATTATAATTTTCCAACATCTTTTTATCTTTTTTATTTATACTGATAAATGTAAATGACCCTGTTTTTCCATTGGCCACCCTGTGTTGGCATAAAAAGCAGTCCAGGAACACTGAAACAGTCTTTATAACTTAAACGTCTTTATAACGTAAACTCAATATGCAGCAAAATTTTCATGTATGAACTGAGGAATGAAGGGACATTTTGAAACTTTTTTATATGTTTACATTTAACTGCTATTAAAAAAAAAAAGAAAATCAGGAAAATTGCATCTTTTAGTAGATGAACTAGCATGAAATAGACGACCTTAGGTATCACGTTGAGGTTTTATCATTAAGGAATGAAGGAAAACATTATTCTTAGCTGTACTTACCATGTGTTCTGTGACGCAACCGCTAATTCATGCAGGGAGCGCAGTAGGAAGGCCAACAGCTCTTCAAAACAAGAGCCCATTTCAGAGTTAATGTGGTCAAATGGACATAAAATGGATCACTCTTTCTACTAAAAAGCCATGTGTTTACACAGGAGAATCTTTAGAGAAAAGATGGAGGTTAGCATGTTTTGTACCATGGTAACTCTGAAAGATATCATCATTTAAAAAGCTGCTAAAGTTGAAGTCAGTGAGCCAAATCATTTTTCTGACCATAAAATGACTGAATGTGTGAGAGTTCTGGGGAAAACCATGTGGGGATGAAGAGACAGGGTGTCTGTGTGGTAATCACGAGTGCATTTTTTTTTGCAGTTGAGAGAAGGGGAGAAATATTTCTCATGCTCTTTGAGCTTGTTTTGCTTTTTTTTCTTGAAAAACTATGAATGTTGTACTGTGGAGATGAAGCATTAAGCCAACAATCATCTTCCTGTTGATGCATGTGAGGAAAGCTTCAGAGTATGGCTACAGCGTCATAAATCCGATTTATGCACATTTTGCTGAAGCACAAGGTCACTTAAATGTGACTATTGTTGTCATTGCAAGCCTATTGAAAAAGTGAAACAAATACGTTTGTAAGGAAGAGATATTTTATTATGATTTCAGCTTGATTAAAAGTTATGGTTGCGGGTACAGTCTTGTTTTGCAGGAAAAAAAAAAGTGAGACAGGAAAATGTCAAGTGCAGATTCGAGCACGTTGACACAGATTGTCTATTTGATGTACAGTACATATAATTCACTACATAATTATATAGTAATGATGTAGATTACATTTAAATAGAATAGCTTAATGGCAGTAATGACTCTACAAACTTGTTCAGATTGTGTTCTCCTTCATGACAACTAAAGCAATCATCCAGTCATTAGCATGCATGAAAGATCGACCTGAGGTCATCACTTTGTAAAAAAACAGCTTCATTTTAAGATGCATGTGATGAAATGAATGGTTCAATGAAACAACTAATTTACACAGTTTTCCACTTACCTAGCTGTAATCAAACAGCCAAGACAAGTTTATTGTCTAAATTTTCTTCTTTAGTTTTAAACTTGAGCTACAAGGCTAATGTTACTTTGTGAGTTCAGACCTTGCCTTTAACATGGTAGTAGTAAGAGGGAAGACTGATTGAGGGAAGGGGGAGAACTCTGAGAACTTGAGCTTCTGCCTGTTGCTAGAAGGCCAGACCCCCCTCATAGCTGTAGTAGGACAGATGTAGGACTGAGGAACCCTTCGTCACAGAAACGGAAGGTGAGGATGTGAATTTATAGGGCGTTAGATTGGAAGAAGGATGGGTTTCAGGCATGTTCCTCCCTCTGAACTTCAGTTATAACATGATTAAAAAACACTAGAAGTCAATAGTCACCTAAATCTTTTACATAAATACGTCCTCAAAACTTCTCTCAACTTGGTCAAATCACATCCAGATCTTTATGAATGTGGCACAGATGTGTCAATGTGGTTAAGAGCACAGTATGACAATATGACTGAAAACTATAAAAGTGAACAAAACCTCACTGTAACTGAGTGCCAGGGGGCAGCTATTTAATACCAGAAGAACTGTGCTGCATTAAACCTCCCTCACAGAATACTTGCCTTCATGTAGCATAATGTGCTCTAAACTTTATTGACTAGTCTGCGCAACCTTACTGAAGACCTGTATACAGTTTAGGGAGGTTGAGGGAACTTTTGGAAATGTATTTATAAAAAAGAGTTTGGGTGACTTTGACTTTCAGTGTTTGTTAGTAATGTTAGCCTTGTAGCTCCAGTTTAAAACAAGAGAAGCAAAATTTGGACACCAAACACACCTAGGCTGACTGAATACTTCTGGGGTAAGTGGAAAATTGTGTAAATTTAATTTTTCACCAAACTATTCCTTTAATGCATAGAACTTGGTAGACAAAGTTAGCATGTCCGTTTCATATAATGTAATGTCCTCAACAGACAGTCCTAAGATTATTAACTTATTCATGACATTCTTGGCAAGTTTGACACTTGATCAGCGCTAGCTGATTTAGTTTGCTGCCATCTACTAAGCTAATAAACTTTGATGGTTCTTATAATCTTCTAATTCCCATGATGACCTTAGATCAGATGATCAGTCTTAATTGCATTAAGCACACAATTTTAGTCTCTGGAGCCTCAACTGTCTCAGTAATGCAATTTAATCTTGTGGAGGCTCAATAGAGTAATTGTTTAAGCTGAGCTTTCATATGAAGGATGGACTGGTGAGCACACCTACATCATTGTTAATAAAGAAAGATAATTTAACATGTAGTAAGGGGATCATACATGCTTATGATATGCTTATTTGTCTTGTAATGTCCTTTACCTGTTACATTTTTAACAATTAATACTTTACGATGTGTTACTATACTTACAGAGCCAACTAGTTGGCCAGTGAAAGAAATAAAGACATTTAATGCTATTTTACTTAGGGATGCAGCAATATGGGATTGTGGGCCAATGCCAAGATCCAAAATTTTTCAAGTATATCTGCCAATCTGCCAATGCAGAGACCAATGCAATATATGTATAAACTACAAATGCAGCAGACTTTTCTATAAACTTTCTATAAACAAGTATCTGGTGACACACAATATGATTCTGATTTCTGATTTTAATGAGTAACAACACATATTTATATAAGCTCTTTTTCTCTTTTCTTCTTCCCAGTACATAAAGGAATTTTTTAACCGCACAGCAGTGAGGCGTAATGGGACTGGCCTGAGTCATGAGAGCATCACAGTGCTCTACTCCATCACTGTGTCCATCTTTGCTGTTGGGGGTCTGTTGGGCTCCCTGACTGTCGGAATGCTGGTCTCCAAATTCGGGAGGTAAAGCATCAACAGTTGACAAACAACTATTTGAGAACACAATTTGTTATGGAATATCCTCCAAATAAAAACCATTTAACAGGTCAGGGGTAGGGATGGGTATCGAAATTCAATACCGTTATGGTACTGACCAAATTACTTCAGTATTAGAAAGTACCAAAAAATTCAGTGTTGTTCCACACCAAATTCTAATAACAAAGTAGTTCTTAATGTCGGTGAGCCAATAGGCATGCTTTTTTCCAAAATCTAGACGGCTGAATAAATTGCTTTCTGCAAGCATGTTATTAACAGCAGTGCTTCTTAGTCTGAGATCTGTTATTGTCAGTAAATACAGCCACTTTCAGCACCTCACACTTTGATTTGATTTAAGTCATAACCACTTTTGGTTTGTAACCTGAAAAGAACGTATTGAAAAATATGACCATGGTCTCAAAATTAAGGTAGCGATATTGAAAAAAAAATACATTACATGAAGAATGCATTCCCTCTTCTTCTTTTTCATTTGTAAGGTAGAGGTTTTTGTTATGACAGTGATGAACTGTTATTTCCATTGTTGTGCAGGAAAGGGACGCTGGTGAAGAGCACAGTTTTAGTCTTTGTAGCTGGTGCTCTGATGGGTTTCAGCAGAATATGTGGCTCTCCAGAGATGATCATCATAGGCCGATTCATCACAGGGCTTCACTCAGGTGCTTTAGCGATGTCTAACATGTTGATCCAATGTCTAGCTAAAGCTTTTGGTCAATAAAATGGTTTCAATTAAGAGCACTGATTTTCAGACTTAGTTAAGACTAAACTTTGGTTTCTGCTTGGTTCTTCACCATTATTGAAGGTCTGATATCCTTTTCTGCTTGTGTAGGAATCTCTCTGAGCGTAGTGCCCATGTACCTGGGAGAGATCGCGCCAAAGAACCTCCGTGGCTTCCTGGGCCTCATGCCTAGCATCTTCATCTGTATTGGAGTGTTCATCGCTCAAATTCTGGGACTCCATGAGGTCCTGGGCAAGGTAGATTGGCATTAATGTAGAAATGTCTTCTTATTACCTCACATTATTAACCAAAATCTGATTACAAATGGTTCAGTTGCTGCAAGAAAGATTTTAGGGAGGCATTTGATTCCTAATAGATATTTCATTAATCGGTTTTAGGATTATCATAGTATTCACAAGTTTGCAGGTTTGCTTATTTGCAGTATAAATTATTGCATTAAACACTCTCTCTCTCGCTCTCCCAGTTAACATGATTGTAAAAGTTCGAGTTTTTTGGGAAACTGGACTCTTCAGATCAATGTGACTTACAGAACTTTCTGAAATGTGTTTTAGCAATTTGAACTTTGACTGTATGAGTGTCCTGCTAAGACGCTGTGATGTCATGACCTGTCTCCACCTGTCTCCACAGGAGGAGCATTGGCCTCTATTCCTTTCCTTAGTTGTGGCACCGACCTTCATTCAACTAATGCTCTTACCATGGTTTCCAGAGAGTCCTCGTTACTTGCTGATCGAGAGACATAATATTCATGCTACTATCACAGGTAATAGTTTCCCATCTATTCATTATTACTCATTATTGACATAATGTAATTAAGTTGATGCTGACAAGACTGGTGGAGAACACTTAGGGGCTTCAGAGAAGACCTAATGATTTCTGTGAAATTAAGAATACATGTCTATAATTTTTAGTCTATTTTTGGATGGAAACAAAAGTGTTACATTTTTGAAACAGTCAATGGAAAATTATCCGATTTTTTTCTCTGTGGTATCTAGTTAGATACAACCAAGTTTGCTCTCCAGTTGGTTTGGACTTCAGGAGCTGAACTGAAGGCCTAACATGTCAGATTAAGTAACAGCAGAATAAACCAGTCACGTTTTGATTTCCAGTGGATGGGACCAATTTTATGAGAAAAAGCATTCGGTCTTCCGGACGTTCTAGATATGTTACTGACTGTGGTTATGAGTGGAATCCTGACTAATGCACTTCAGTCAGGTGTTAGAAATGGATAACAGTAGCAGCTCTGCGCCAGGGTCTTTACTGAAAGAGTCACTGTAAAACTGCTACAAGGTAAATATATGTTAATATGTGATACAAGCTTCAAATAAGAAATGGAATGTTTTTTACAAGTTTTAGATGTCTATGGTTAATGTAGAACGCCAAAAAGTGTTCATATGAATAGCTGTTAGTTTACTGCTAATGTACTACTGGAATCCAAAATCAGAAATTAATATTAGAGCTGTTTTCTGCCTCATTTTTTACTGAGTTTTGACATTTATGGTCCAAGCAGAAGGCCTAGCTCTAATAGTCACAGAGAAGACCCAACACGCAACACTGTTGTTCTTTGAAAACTTTGCAGTCCAGTAAGTTTTGGCTAAGTTTAATTATTACACTACGCTAATCTCCTCTAGAAAGATATTTTCACCCCCTTTTGTATGCTGTATCACTTCTCTTCTACTCTAACTTTAGACAAACGTCTCCTCTATCAAACTACTTGCACACTGCTTTCCACACAGCTCTGAAGGCCTTTGTTAAGACCGCTGCTCACTTCATTGCATTACATTTGATTGAATTGTGTTGGACAGGACAGAGTGTTGGTCAGTCTCTCAGTGGCTAATAGAGCTTCCTCTGTGATTTCTGAGCACTTAAGACCTTTGGCCTGATACTTCAAAGACCTGTCCATCATACAGAAGCTAGCTTAGTGCACTCTGAGAAAATGAGCTAGCCAAAGAATGTGTTTGAATTGAAGGGTCAAGTAGCAGCCAGGCAGCAACTTTAGGGCTTTTATTGTTTTATGTTATATAATGATGATTATGAAGGTGATAAAAAAAACTACAGTTGTGATGATATTGAAGGTGATGATTCTAAGCCATTTTTTCTAACAGCAGTCTTAGATAAAATAAGCATGAAAACATGGAACTGATATTTTGAGGAAACACATTTTCACCTCTCCTTTAGCATGTTTGTTCTTCAGATGTCTCCTATAACTAGCAAAAATGTTTCAGTAGAACCAGCAATCACGCAGGAATATTCATTTTTAAGAATGTGTTGAACCTCTGCATTACGTGGATGTTCTTCAGACTTTGAAAACGTTCTTCACACTCAAACGTCTCATTTACAAAAATAGTTCTCTATGGAAATCATCCACTGAAAGGTTCTTTATAGACCTGAAAGTGGTTCCTCTATGGTATTGCACCAAAGAAACCTTTATGCAACTTTATTTTTAAGAGGAATTCCACTGCTTTTTCTAAATTTCCGCGTAATTCAATTGTTGAGATTAACTTATTGATACAAATTTCTGTACAATGGTAGTGATAGGAACCAGAAGTCTCACTGTCTACAACACAAATATGGCTGTTTTATTTACTATCCAAACATTTTTATATGTTTATAATGTCCATGATGAATGTATTTTTAAAATATATCATTTTAAGGCCAAAATCTTGTCTAAAAGAATTGTAAAGAATGTCTCAGCATATCATATCACTTTTTGTGCAGATAGCTTTTAGTGGCTTTAAACTCTTCAGACATCTGGTTCCTATCATCACTACTGTGAACTATTCTGACTCTGTAAGTTTCTCTAGAACAAAGCATTTCACACCAAACCACTTTTGACTTTTATGTCTTAGTAATTCAGTTATGCAAAAATGTTGAGAAATTAGTGGAATTCCGTCACATTTATTTTAAGTTTAATTTATTAACTCTTTAGCAAATTCACGGCATGGTTCTCACTGCTCACAGTGCATGTTAATGTTCTCCTACAAAAAAATGATGCGTTACTAACTGGAAATGTTAGTTCTTTCATGTTGTTTCCACATGTTAGTGATGGTCACTAGCATCTTGTCTGCTGGCTTTATTGGCAGCTCTAAAGTGGTACAGAGCGAAGGCTAATATCCAGGCGGAGGTGGAGGAGATGCAGGAGGAGCAACGGTCACTCTCTTCAGTGCAGACCATCTCAGTCTGCGAGCTGCTCAGAGACCAAGCCGTACGCTGGCAGGTCATCACTGTCCTGGTGATCAATGCAGGGATGCAGCTGTCTGGCATTGATGCGGTGAGTGCGTGCTATTGTAGGTATGTTTGGTTGTTAATTAGTCGTTTCTCAATGCATAACAGTATAATCCAATTCACTGAACTCTTTTTCTGTTTAGTTTTTCTTCTTCTTTTTTTTCTGTTGAATTTTTGTCCACTAACTTGTCCTGCAGTTTTGAGATGTATAAATACTGAGCCAACTCCCCAGTGTTCAGTCTCATTGTGAGAGGTGTGCTTTTATGCAGCTTTTTGATTGGATATATAGTTCCCACATAGCAATCATTCAACTCTTTTCAATTTTTTCCCCATAGGAATGAATGAGGGAAAATGCTCAAAAATTGGTTCAAATGTTTGCACACCCTTTTTATGTCACCATGGTGCAAGTACACTAACATCCCAACAACCACCTGGGACATCACAGCAACCACCTGGAATACCATAGTAATCGCTCTAGCAAGCACCTTAGTCACCTTACCAATTGCTTAGAAACACCCTAGCAACCACTTAAAATACTATAGCAAACACATACAAACAACCTAGAAACCAACTGCATTTTCTTCAGGAAATGTACTTTTCTAATTTACAGTGTCTTTTTACTTTGTATTTTGTACTTTGTAAATTTTTATTTGTATACTAAAGATAATGGTAAGAATGATGTACCCAAATAGTGTAAATAATAAACTATCGGGGTATCTATTTTCAGATCTGGTTCTACACAAACGCCATCTTTGAAAATGCAGGAATCTCTGCCACTCAGGTTCAGTACACAACAGTGGGAACCGGTGCCATCGAAGTCATTGCTGGACTCGTTGGGGTAAGAAAACAGTCCTTTAATTCACTGACCCACAGCGTACCACATACATGGGCTACTAAGAAATTTGTTTTTTTGCATGGAATCTCTTGTTTTTACATTATAAAAGCAGAACTGTGTCTGGATTCCTTTATATATAGGTGAGCTCAAGAATATTTGCAATGTGTGATATTTGCACGAGTTGATATTTGACTCGGAATACAGAAATGATATATTAAAGGAATGGTTCAGTAAAAAAAATCTAAATTACACAATTATAGTCCATCAGCCAAGATATAGTGTCCAAATTTTGCTTATCTAGTTTAGCGTTGAAGCTATAAGGAAATATTGGGGGACATATAGTATTTATGAAAAAGATTTGGGTGACTATTGACTTATAGTGTTTGTTAGCAACATTAGCCTCGTAGCTCCAGCGCTAAATTAAAACAACAAAATTTGGACCCCAAACATGTCTTGGCTGATTGACAATATCAGGGATGAGTGAAAAATTGTGTAAATCTGATCTGTTCGCCAAACCATTCCTTTAAGTATATGTTATTTAACAGCAATATGTAGTAAAGAATTTGGGCAGCTAAGATCTGCTTCTGTCTCTTTTGATTGAGTAGATTAGGCAGATCATAAACCACTGAAGTTTACGTTTCTTCTCTTCTCTGTCCACCCCACAGTGTTTCACTATTGAACGGGTAGGTAGGAGGCCACTGATGATTGGTGGATTCAGCTTTATGGGCGTGTGCTGTGCAGGCATCACCCTCTCCCTCATATTACAGGTACAGGGACCTCCTCATTAGAGAAACGTCAACCAAAAATGTAACTATTGCTACTATGAAGTTATGCAAAATGGTTAAATGGCTTGTCAGACAGACATTAAGGCCTTAAAGAATGTCAGCAACTTCCAGTTCATACAAAACAGCTGTTGTGCCTTTAGACAGAAGTCTTTCATGCATTTCCCGCTTGATGTTTGTGCCCTTAAAAGGAGCTTAATGTATTCTGTGACTGCAGACTCATATGTTTAATTCAAGTTGAATGGCACTGATAGCAGACCACTGGTCCTTCATTATGGTCTCATGCTTTTTTCCAATGGCAGGCTCATGTGCCCTTCATGCACTATGTCAGTGTGGCATGTGTGGTCGGCATTATAGCAGGATTCTGCATCGGGCCTGGTGAGACATTAACAAGACACATTATCTGTTCTATCTCTCTCTCACTCTCTATCTCTCTCTCTCTCTCTCTCTCTCTCTCTCTCTCTCTCTCTCTCTCTATCCTCTTATTCCTATTGGTCTTGACCTTTAATAACACATTCATTCTGATATCATCTTATGTTTTCGGGGTAAAACCATTGCCCCATCACAATGTTGTCCCATGACACACACAGTGGACAGTTTCATATTAATCTAACCTGAATTAATCTTGTTTACATTGTACAAACTGAATCATTCATAAGGTATTAAAAAAGCACTGGAATTCCCCTCCAAAAGCACATTTTGAACATCACTAGCTAAAACAACTTTCTTTTTAATACATTTTCAAAAGCTACAGTGGGGTCCAAGAAATCGCACTGAGATCTGGGATTGTTTTCATTTAATCCCACAAATAAACAACAGAAAGTTGTAGATTTTTAAACACTTAAGAAAAGTTATAACAAGTAAACTAAGGAAGAATAGTTAAAGATTCTGGATCACTGTTCAGATGGAAGCAAATGTGTGAACTGACCATGCTCAGGCCTTTGTACAAAAAGGACTTTTATTTATTTATTTTGTCTTTTTCCTTCCACTAAAACCTGTGTTCAGACAACTTTCGGGTGGATTTGATCTGCTCATCAGAGGCTTCTGTCACGGATCAGAGTCCGTGCCAGCTCGAGTGCACACTGTCATTAAACTGAAAGGGTGACGACCCTAAGAAATTCTGAAATACATGTAAAAATTCTGCGATGGACTGGCGACCTGTCCATGGTGTATCCTGCCTTCCGCCCAATGACAGCTGGGATAGGCTCCAGCACCCCACCGTGACCCAGAAGGATAAGCGGTTTAGATGATGGATGGATGGATGGATGTAAAAATTTCAAAGATCCTACTGTTCACTCAGATTATTATGCTGATAATATAATTTGTAATTGAACAAATGGATTGAATTAGAAAAGAATGCAAAATAGAAGAATTTTCACTAGTGGCCTCTAGACTTCAGAGTTTTGATGGGCAGTGTAAGCACACATTCTGTAAAGGTGAACATCTGCCATATGTTTGGAACATGCCTTACAGAAAAGTCAGATGATTTTCATATGTGAATAAACACATGGTTTTTGCATACTTCACATGTTAAAGGAGTCATAACATGTGAAAAATACATTATCACATGTGAAAACGTGATCACTTGAAAAATCGTGGTTTTTGCAAACTTCACATGTGAAATATGTGTGACTTTTCTGTCACAGCTCAGTCAAGGAAAAGTCTCCCCCTGGTGTTGAAAGGAGGAAGTGTGAGGACTGTAATGACTCTTTTGTCTCTTGTGGTCTCTGCACAGCTGGAGTGCCTTTCCTGATGACAGGCGAGCTGTTTAAGCAGTCTCACCGTCCTGCTGCTTTTATTGTGGGGGGATCTCTTAACTGGATATCCAACTTCACAGTGGGCTTTGTCTTCCCATTCTTACAGGTGAGCTCATAATATCAAGATGATGATGTGTCTAACAAATGTTGCATTTCTTACACATTGATCATATATTTAAATATTGGTAGCTGGACAGCAAAAGTACATTCTTAAAAAATGTGGTTCTACAAGGTTTCTTTAGTAAAGTCAACAGTTCTACATAGAAACATGAACACTCCAAGAACCATTTCAGCATGCTTAAAGAGTTCTCTGCATGGTGAAATGGTTCTTCAGGTTGATGGAGAATGTGTTGTATATGGTTCTATATAGAATCTTTTCGACAAGAGTTCCATATAGCACCAAAAGGGTTTTGCTATTGTTACAAACTGACATTATATCAGTAGAAGAACCCTTTTAGGTGCTATATAAAACCACTTCACCATGCAAAGAACGATTTAAGCATGCAAATGGGTCTTTGAGTGTTCATGGTTCTACATAGAACCACTGTCTTTATTAAACCCCTGAAAAAGCATCCTTTTTAAGAGTGTACAGATCAAGCAGATAACCTGACAAAAAATGAATGTAAATAGACAATTATGGTATATTTTTATTTATTATTTTTAATCATTTAACGTCTCTGTCAGCAGAATCCCTGCAATATTAAATAAACCATCTAAAATAGCTTTTTGTGAATAGTTTGTAATATTTAAATCCTCATTTTATAAGGGATTATTAAATATAACAAATTTGTTAATATGGTGAGTGATAGAAATTTGAGCAGCACAGGATGAAGTGTGGGAGTGTTGAGGTTCTTCACCTTGTCATGTGAGCTTTTGTCAGAACTTTGAATTTTTTTATAGGATGTAAATGTGTTATGTACAGATTTGCACACTGATGTTCGTTACCACTTTGCAGCATAATGGAAATTCACAACTTATAAATAGACAAAAAATGTATTGTGTTGTTGTTCAGACTGTAAAGGACCTTAAAAATACTTAAAGAAAATTTCTAGAGAATTTTTAAAAGTTTTGCATAATTAAATGGTTAAAATGTAAACAAAGTGGTGATTATAGGAACCAGATGTCCAGGTTTAATGCCTCTAACAGCTACATTACAGAAAGTTATCACATGATATGGTAACAAAAAAAGGTACCTGATTCTGAGACATTCTTTAAAATTTCATACATAAGATTTTGGCCTTAAAACCTAATACGCTGCCTAATGTGCAGTGTGTTGTATGGCAAAATAGTTCTAAAAATTGGTCTAATTTTTTTTGTGTTTACCAATATTTTACCATTATCAACATAACATATAAAAACTCAGAAGATGCATGTAGAATCACTGGACATTTATAACTGAAAATAAATTACTGTAATTGTGTTGTAAACATTGTGACTCCCAGTTCTTATCACCACCACTGTAAAGAAAATCTGGGTTGGTAAATTTATCTAAAACAGAGAATTTCACATCAGACCACTTTGAATGGCGTTGTTTACATCCTAACATCTCAATTCTGCAGAAATTTTGAAAAATTGATAGGATTCCCCTTTAACAGTAAAGGGGCCAAAAAGAGTTATTGGGAGTGATGACACAGAAGAACTACTTTTGGTCCCCTAAAAACCTTTTTTTTGTAAATGAGAGGTGCCTAATAAAGTTTAAAGGTCCTCCACATAATGTAAGGATTTACTAACAGTTAAAGCTATTTTTCAAGAAACCATGAACTATTTAGACTACTTTATTCTAAGAGTCTATTTGTTGAACATAAAAAGTTTTCAAATTGTAAGAAGGCCTCAGGGTGCATTATTATTATTATTGAAAGTATCTACATGTTCTGTCCCTTTACCAGATGTCTGCAGGTGCGTTTTGTTACCTGGTCTTCTTCGGCGTTTGTGTGGGCGTGGCTGCCTACGTCTACTTCATCATCCCCGAGACGAAGAACAAAACATTTGTGGAGATTAGCCAGATGTTCGCATCCAGAAACAACTGTGAGCTCGAGACGGAACCGCTGTCCATGGCCGACCAGCTCAGCCTCAAAAAGATGAACGGATATGGTTCAGTAGAAGCTAAGATGGGGCATAAGGAGCTCCTAGAGGAGAAATACACATGGAGTGATGAAGAAGAGGAGTAGAGGGACTAATGTAGAAATGGGAAGATGTCTGGGTGTTTGTGAGAGAGTGACTGAATATCTTTGGTGCTACAGAACACAACTGCTCCTCAGTCACCGTAAGAGCAGAGGCAGTTCCGCTATGCCATAAAGGGGTTTGATGCTAAAATACTGTTAACTGAGCATATCGCATGACTCAAAGCCTATTTTACATCTGCACATGTTCATTTGAAAACATGCAAAATTTCTCAACAGCTGTTAAGATCTGTTAAGAAAGACTTGAATATTCCATTGGAACATCTTGAATGGTGGCTCATCACGGCGTGTAAAGACTCTGCTAACATTTAGTCAAGTAAAATGTTTGAGTTCTCTACAAAAAAACGTAGTGAGCCATTACTTTTTTATCTCAGGAAATGTATTTTTTGTCATCCAGCCCCTTTACAATATTTTCCAGCTTGATTAGTGACCTTGAAGGGCTTCCAAAATTGCATGATGGAAAAAAAGCTGTAAAAAATTCCAGTTACTGTTTTAAGCCCTGCAGATATTAATGTTGATTAATATCGAATGTTTTTCTGTTACTGGTTCAAATATGGCTCCAGACCATTTTGCCAAGCAGATATTGGTGTTTCTGGATAACAAGGCAGCATGAGTGGGCAATATGACACTATTTGTCATTTTCATAATGAACACGTTATAATAGCCACATTGTGTGACAATGCACTTTCCTAAGCATGTCATGAAAAATATCAGTACTTAAAAGGGGCCATATCCCCTATTTATCTTGTACTTTATTTTTTCCTCCTGTGTGGTTTTATAATCCAAAAACAGTCGCAATTCATTTTTACACAACCATCTTTCAACCTCTCTTTACCTCTTAGAATTAAACAGGCTGTTTTTGCAACTGTGCCTTTAAGTCTAATATATGTCTCTCTGTTCTGATTGGCTACCCTGTATTGTACCTCTTTCAAAAAGCAGTCCAGGCTGAAACGCTCCTTATAACTTCAGCATGAATGGGCGGGGCTAAACTGCTTCAGGCTGAATAGGTGGACATATGTGAATGTGTTGGTTTTTGTGACATCACAGAAACAATGAATTGAAAACAGACTCTTTATCCAACTTGGTTTCCATATATGGACTGTATGGACTGGAGAGTGAATGGTAAGTCTTAAAACATATGTTTACATATTACATCAAACTCTTTTTAAAAAAAAACTCTTTAAAGAACTGATAATGGCATGTTTCATTGCATTGAGAGTATAATTAGTTCTGTTTAACTGAATTCATTGCAGCTCCATATGTGAAACATCGAATAGAAATCATTGTATTCAAGTTTTTGATAGTAATTTTTAAATGTGGCACTACTTTCTTTATCAAACCTCAGAAAAACAAAATATCATGATGCATATATGGAATCAACAAAATGGCTTAATGTATTGTGATGTTATATTTTTGTCATATTGCCCACCACTACACAACTTGACTGTCCAACAACCAAGGAGTCTAGGTTGAGCTATCCCTTCAGTAGCATCTAGATGGTCTGTAGTGGCCATATTTGAGACCAAGCAGTGTTAAAGTCGAACTTTAATGTAGCCGTTTTTATACGATGAATTTAAGTAATTTTGTCACTTCAGTCAATAGTAATTTGGAAAATGGATAGACGTGTCAATTTTGTCTAAATTGTCACTGATTGTTTAGCTTTATATTCATATTTTCTAGGCCAAGCACAATCATATCACTCAAATTCTTAGCTTTTCTCTTTTAAAAAAACAACCCATATCCCACACATTCTGCAAAGAGAACTTTAATGGACTGACAATCTACACTGAAAGACATGAATGTTGTTTCTACAAAATGTCAGCTTACCTTGCTAAATCTGGCCAGTCCTTCGCTACGGACGTTTTCCTGCCTGTTCATAATGCCTTATTTATAATATCAGTAGAAGATATTGAGCTGCATTTGACATTTTCTTCTCCTTTTTGCAAAGGAGTACATATCCATGACTACATTGATAGTCTCCATATCCTGCGCCTTAAGACTGTACTGTACCTTTATGGCTTACGTTTAAAGTGTTGGAGTACTGTACATTCTGACAGTTTTACCTCTTTTGTGCACCACAGTGTATATACATGAAACCATACTATGTACATTGTCTACCCAGGTCCTGTCCCGCCTGAAATGTATCTGAAAAGATGGTGTCCTGGAAACATTCTAAACAACATCTCCCCACAGTAAAAAAATAAAATGTTTTTAAAAAGGTAAAAATGTTATCTCTCAGTATTGTCCTGTTTCCCTTATATTATGATCATTTGAATATCAGGTGACACATGAAACGGTACATTCTGATGTTTTTCATGTCAGTATCCATCAAACATAGACAGACAGCAAGAAGCTTTCTAATATGAACTTATGGCTTTGTGCTTAATGAGCCTTGTAGGTTGTTTGACATCAGCATTTCCACAGTAAATTCTATTGTTTTTATTGCCAATTAAGCTTTTAAAGATTAACCAGGAAACCAGTGACCCTCCATGTGTGCACTATGAGTATTTATATGTAATGTTAAGGATGGTATAATAGTGATAAATCTGAAATAAAGTGCTTTGTCCAGGTTCTGTTTTCTCTTACAACACCTTACATGTACTAATGTTTTAGTGCAAAATCGTTTTGCAAAACAATATAACTATTATAACACTTTCATGTAAAAACTCTCTGTGAGGCAGCTTTCAGAGGCTTCAAGACTTTTCCCACATGTGGTTCTGCTACCAATTTTGCCTCAATAAATTTCACTAAAACTCTCTGAGCAACTTTGTTAACACCTTAACCATTAAATTACGCAGAAATTTTTAAAAAATTCTCCTTTAAATCCAGTCTTACTAATATTTCAACATTGTGAAAATAAGTGTAACATTCACTGAGCACAGTAGTTTGAATTTTCTGTGCTGTTGTCAATGTTGTAATGAGTTTTAGTAATGTACAGATGCAGCAGTGACATCCAGCACTGCTTTAAATGGCTCTTCATAAATAAACTACTGTAATTCTGGAACACAAACAGCAGGGGGCACACATTATTTACATATGATTCTCCTTGAAAAGAGCCTGAAATATAGAACCCCTCGGACTTTGGAATCACATTCATTTTGTCATGTGTCTTTTGACTGGTACATATAACATCCAGGCTATGACGACTGATGTAATGCAAAAACATCTGCGATTGTTAAGAGAAATATATTGCATTTGTAAGGCTGAAGTACACTTACTTTTATCGTATTAGGGAAGAGACTGGTATTCTCTCTCTCCCCCTCCCTCTCTCTCTCTCTCACTCTCTCTCTCTGTCTCTCTCTCAATCTCTCTTCCTTTCGCAGTAGGATGCAGTTTTGGTCCCTCAGTTCAAATATGCATTTTTTCCTTCAATAAAATTGATGGAATATATTTATATGGAAATGTGCATGTTTGACAAAATCTGAAGTTGGCTGGATTGTCACCTTTGTTGGTCAGCAAGTAGATCAACATTTATTAAAATGTTTTTATTGTATTTAAAAGCTATTTGTTATTGTTGTCACAGAAGGGGGTTCTTACCCCTCCCATTTCACCCATCATTGCTCACTAGCAGCTCAACACAAAGTCACAACATTTCGTACACAGACAGCCAACAGTGTCCATGTTAATCACATAACAGTGTATGGGGAAAAACACGTTTTTAATACAATTTTCCAGGTTAATTTTTATCTTGCTGGAGAATAGGCTGCAATAGATTACATGTGTTTTACCTGTAGTGGCTCTCTTATTCTCAGTCCCACTCACTTGTCAAAGTGCAAAAATGACCATGAAAAGGAAGAAAACTCTCAATTCTAGAGGTGAATTTTTATAACACCAATCTTGTGAACATCATCTTTGTTAAGCTCTTTGTGAAATGTGTAGTACTGCATTGCATTGCATTCATATGTAGATGACAGTTCTCCAAGTATAGAAGGTAATCTTCTAAATAATGATCTAGAATCTAGAATCCCACTCCTTTCAAAGTTTGTATGGTTTTATGTACCAAAATTCTATTTTCACAAGACCATTTTACAATCTCTTTATCACTTATGGGAGTGGTTCTCAACCCTGGTCCTGGAGGACCCCATGCCCTGTGCATTTTTGTGTTTTCCTACCAAAACACATCCACTTCAACTCAGGAAGGGCTCATAAATTAGCTGATTAGTTGGATCAGGTGTGTTGGGAGTATGTAAAACACTAAAATGTGCGGCGCAGTGGGTCCTTCATGACCAGGGTTGAGAACCACTGCCTTAAGGCCCTGTCACAGTGTTGTGTTGTTGCCTTCCTAACAGCAAATACATTTTGTTTGTTCAACTTTGGGCGTAAAGCAAATGACCCCTGTGCTGCTGTACTGTGTCTCATCCAAAAAGCAGTCCTGTGCTGCATGGGCAGTCATACATAAATGTTTTCTTGATTGTGACATCGTAACTATGATGAACTGATGAAAGTATTTTCGCAAACTCTTTTCATTAAACAAGGAAAGCAAGGACATTCTTTCACACTCTTTTGGATAATATAGCTCCTCTAAACTTTATACGAGAAACTGCAAAACTGTCTCCAGACTAGCTGGTAATGTAACCTATCAACATCCCTGTCGTATGGAGATGAAAACATTAGCAGCTTGAAAACTTGTAGCTCTGACATTTTATTACAAAATTAAATTTGGTCGTCCAATCAAGGACTCACATGGTTTTGAATGGCAGTCCAACAGCTACATGTTTGATTGATAAACACTTCGCAGTCATGCTTAGCACGCAAACACACACAGGCACAGTGCAGCTGACAGATCCTGTCGAGTGTACGTTGAGCTCCATATCAAATGCATCAACCGCCTCCTCAGAAACATACACACACCGGCCCCTTTCCATTCCCCCCAGAAAACAATGTCCGCAAGTGCGAGAGAGCACTGGCATATACCAGTCAGGTGCTTTCAACACTCCAACAGCATGCCACAGAATTCCTGCCCCCTGCTATCTCCACTGTACAGTGGAGCATGTTTGGAATACCTGCCCTGAGCTTCCATTTGCTCCAGAAATCTGTTCTCCAAATCCCAAGCACAGGAAGCTCCAGCAAAGAGAAGAGAGCAAACATGACATTAACTATAAGCCTCTGTTTCAAAAATTGTTTCAGCTAAAACTATCAGGACCTGATTTATTAAAGGCAGTAGTAGGGAGAGAATTATGAGGCCCCACTAAAGGAAGTAAACATCAAAGGTTGGAGCTGGGGTTGAATCTACATCTAAAAAATCATTTTAATATTAAAATATGTTTCCCTAGTCATGTCAGAAAGACTAATACAGTTTTGGACAGCCTTACAGTGGGCCGTACCCTCAAGATTAGTTCACTCACATTCATTTGTTGTGAAGAGAAAAGTATATAGGCAAAGCTTTTCTGAATTAGCTAACTAACTTGTTTTGTAATTTCAGTTGTGTTAACTGCTCTGTGCATTAATTCGTCTCACCAATTCATTTATAAAGGGTTACTTGTGAACAGTGTTGCTTGAATATGTGATTCTGGCAGTCTGCTAACTTCAGCTTGCAAACTTATTGTGGTACGGAGCTGGCAAATAAGTTGCTAACTACCTTAGTCATGGCCCCTTATATGGAGCTATTTTGCTTTGTGTACTCATTTAGCTCTTTATTTCATTTTGGCTAGAGTTAGCTGGCTAGAATGTCACTAACTGAAGAAAACACAGCTAAAACTTACATGCATCAAAGCTATCCTGCTGGCTAGGTAGTGAA